TAGGATGTGGAACAATGTTTTTGTGTAGTATATTATGCCAGTTGAGCTTGATGTCTCCTGCAACCATGGTGGAATGGTATTTTTTTTAGTGTGAAAAGCTGTAACTTTAGTCTAATTTTTAAGCTGAGCTGGCTAGACTAATCAGACTAAATTAAAATGGGCCAATTATAACAAATAAATAGTGAACTGTTGTAAATAAGTTGAAATATACTTTTTAAAATTCATCTACTCAAACTATCTAATGAAGTTTAAATTATGTCATATTACATGAAAGTTGTTATCTAAATGTTTTGGGGTTTTGTTTTTTTTTTCCAGATTGTTTTAGCAACAAATATTGCAGAGACAGGTATCACCATTCCAGATGTTGTATTTGTAATTGATACTGGAAGAACAAAAGAAAATAAGTAAGTTTGAATTTCCTAAATCAAAGCATTTTTAACCTGAAGAGGATTTGAGGCTTTTCAATTCATAGGCAAAATCAGACTCATACAGAGAAAATTCCAAATATCATAATCCTATCCAAAACAAAAACCTTCAGAGAAGATATAAGAAATTTTAAAATGTTAAATATCAGAATTTTATCACATTTCCCCAAAAGTAATGTCAATGTACTCCTACTTTTAGAAAAGAAATATCTGAGAAAAAATTTAGTAAAAGAACATAAGTCAGTTTATAAAATAAATTATTTAATAAAAGCATTATATTGGGGGATTACAAAAAAAGAGCATGGGGTTTAGAGTCACATTTGAACTGAAATCTCTGTAATCTTGAGCAAGTAATAAAAGCTCTCTAATCATCAGTTTCTTTGTATATGTTGTTGTTGTTATGTGCCGTCGAGTCACACCCGACTCATAGTGACCCCTCCTTAGGTTTCTGAGGCAGTATCACTGTGGAAGTAGATTGCCCCATCTTCCTTCCGAGGAGTGGCTGATGGGTTTGAACCACCAGCCTTCCGGTTAGTAGTCAAGTGCCTTAGGCATTGGGAAAATGAAAATTTCATAAATGAAAGTACCTTGCACGGTAATGGCACATAGTAGATAACCTTACTCAATCTTAAACAAAAAGATTACACTTTATAAATGTTTTAATGTTTATGGGGTATATACAATAGTGTGTTGTAATCCATATACAATACCTCTAAGACTAGGAAATTTTAGCAATTTGGAAAAGAATATGACTAGCCAATGGAAAATGAACCTTGATTCTTTGAATTATACCTTTTGAAGAATGACTAGAATTAACCAAAAAATCCAAACCAAAC